GCGGGAATGGTGAACTCATTAGCCTCGCGCTGGGCCCGTACTAATCGCTTTTCGTTTCATTGATTTTCGTGTAGGGTCAATTGAAGTATCAGAATTAATTATATTGGAAATATATTATCCATCCTTCGCTACTTCGCGCAAAATCAATCACCTGTGCATCAGCTTCCAGCTCCACGAGCCTCTTCGCGCAGCCGCCGTCGTCTGCAGCTCCAGTCATGGCAGGATCCATACCAACGTCACGTAAGATGACTAAGACAAGGCGCACGAGAACAGCGAAAAACGGTACATCAGGAAAGTAGGGAAAGACTTTTTTTGACTTGTGAACTTTTATTAAAAAACGAGGGTTTTATTGTACCCCTCTCCTCCTGAAAATTAGATTGCCAATCAACTTTTTTTTGGACTGTAGGTTCTTTTTCGCCTTTTCTACTTTTTTTTACCTTTTTTTATTCCTCGGTCGAGCTCGGTCGAGCTGGACCGAGCTGGACCGAGCTGGTATAAGTGAAAAAAAGTTTTATGCAGAAATGCTGATGTATGAGGCAGCTTCCTGGACTCACGGAGGTTCCAAAGCGATAGAAACGCTGCTTAACCATTTCACGCAGCCTTTAGCGAGAGAGGAAAGCAGAGAAATGGAACGCCACGTAGGACGTCACGTGTTTGGTCGCGGCCCAGGTGTGGCATGACTTGGATTGACTGTATTGTCCGATTAATTGCAAAATGTGTAGCGTACAGCAAAAATTACGTGAAGAATACTTATGATAATGATATCATACAACAGTAATATGCAGGCAAAAGATGTCCGTGTCATATTGTAGCTTCGTAACTATCCATCCATCCATCAAGGATCCTAGTATCGTACAGATAAATGAATAAATAATTTATCCATCAAATGATCGATAATGTTTGGCGTAGTTGCACTCAGTGCCAACTCCTTCAACTTTTCCAGCAAATCGAAATTCTCCACTGCCGGAGAAGGAGGTGTGACGGGTAACGGGCTGGACTCCAACGAGATCGACTCGAATGCCGAAGAAGATGACCCGGATGAATAGCGTGACTCGGATGAGCAGTCCGGGTGGAGGAGTAGCACGAGCACGATCTGGAGGACGTCACTGCAGTGAGATCCGATGACGTTGACTGGGCTTCGCCCTTGACTTTGGCCATCATCTGTCGCAACCTCTTCTCAACTCCCTGTCCCCATCCCATCGAGCAACTTCTGCGTCCGTCAGGAAGAACCTTTCAATGCTGAGCACCTCCGACCGGATTGACGCCAATGATGGACGACGTTCTGCCGTCGGCGAAAGAATTTTCGTTGGGAGCGAGTAGGCCCCATCCGATAGGGGGAGCACATCGAGTAGAATCGCCCGATCATTGAGGTAGTCGTTGTACTCCCGTCCTCTGGCGAGGCGCATGTCCACGGACGTACGGTGGCAATCATCTCTGCAAGGGTGCAGCCGAGTGCCCAAATGTCTCCCGAGATGGTGGAGTATGGCTCATGGCGCGGTACCAGCGACTCTGCAATCAGATTAGTAATCGGGTCATGCCTTGTGATAAAGGGATAAGTACCTGGACTCACGAAACACGGTGTCCCACAGGAAGATGCCATCATATTGTTCATCGTCGCAAGACCAAAGTCCGCAACGAAGACGTCCATGTCTCCGCTCAGCGAAGAGACAAGAATGTCCTCCGGCTTGAGATCCCGGTGGTAGACCCCACGAGAATGGCAGTATTCGAGCGCGTCGATGATTTGGATGAAGACCCGCTTGACCAGCTCATCTTTTCGGAAGAAAGTGAGCTCCCGGATGACAGAGTGGAGGTCCCCAGCGCAGAGGTCGTAGACGAAGAAGGCGCAGTCACCACCATCGATCTCGCGATGGAAAGTGAGGACGTGGGGATGGGATGAGACTCGCGCGTGAAGCTGGGTTTCGCGAGTTTGGTAGTAGTCCGAGCCGCGCTTCTCTACGCACTTGACTGCATAGTGTGCCCCAGATTGGGTGTCTCTGGCGCGATAAACGACGCCGAAGGACCCTGCACCGAGAATTTGCTCGATAGCAAGGGCACCGTTGTCGATGGTCTGACCGAGAAGGGCAACAGAAGGGTATGAAGGCATTGCGGGGGTAGGGGGTAGAGCGATGTCAACCAAGTACCGATTTCTCGGCACCTAGTTGACTGGGTAGTCGATTAACGGTCAACGCAATACGACAGAGGGTGGTGGTGTATAATGAATAAGTTGTTGATACGTTCGAAGGCGTCACCATCAGTTGTTTATAGCCGTAGCCGGAAGGTGGATAGGAGTTCGTGGAGGGCTTAAACTTGTGTGGAGAAAACATAGACATAGAAATGAAGTGACGATGCCAAGATATCGGCATCGTCATTTCATTTTCTTCCATGTCCGTGTTCTCTCCACGATACCTTACAACGCCCCTGGTAGGGGCACAATATGTTGGGGTCAAGAATAGACCATTGCTCCGTGACCGCCGACACCGGGATGAATTCCAAATGCCATTGATAATAGCCACCTCCACCTGATAGGGATATCATTCAACCAATATTGGAGGAAGCAACAGAAAACGGTGGACTCACCAACGACGTTCGTTCCAGGAAGGAAGAGGATATCGTCGAGAGACGGATGACATCGCCCTAATATATGCACACCTTGGGACCGCAGATTCTCGGAAACATCGGAGTTGTCTTGGAAATCGTCATCAACATTACCAATAAGGCATAATCTCCGGAGATAAGGGAGGTGTATGGACGACCGGTAAAGGCTCTGAATTCCTAGGGAATGAAGAAGGGAATCTCTCTAAAATGAAATGACGAGCAACTCCTCATATGTGAGATGCAAGGCATGAAGACATCAAGCGATATCTTCAGGGCACCGGGCACACGCGACTGCATGCGATCTAGCCCTTGAGTTTTCTCGGGATGACCAGGTGAGTGAGATCTGGAGAAACGTACTGCACGAAGCCCAACAGGGAGGGAATGTAAACTCCCATCCCCTGAGTGGCGCGCAACGAAGTCCGATTTCGACGAAAAAAGTGAAAACAGTTGTGAGACAATTTCCTGGACTCACAAAGGTTCAAAATATCGCTTAAACATTACACACAATTCTATTCCTAAGCAGGAAACATGAGAGTTCCGAGGAGGCGGAGAAATAGTGCGGCATGGAAAGGGACCAGCGGGCCGCGTCACGTGTTTGCTCGCGGTCTCACTAACTGTGGCACGTGCTGCTTGCCATCATCGCGTGTTTTCCCTCTGCAAATCAAAATCGGTAAGATCGTCCAATGGCGTCTCCGATTTATGTACCTCACGCCAGATATATAGTAGTCCTGTTCTCCCGCCACCCCATCCTAGAGACGCCGGCACATTGAATCTTGCATCCTCCTCGAACAAAGGGGTTTTGTTCTTGTTCCTTCCACTGAGTCCGACCTCGACCTCGACCTTTCCAGAAAAGTCGCCTGTGATGTCTCTTCGTTGTCGTCGTGACTGCGTAGTGGCGCAGGCACGACTCCGAGTCGGATCGCGGTCTTCCGTTGGAGAGTTCGGGACCGGACCCGGAGTAACAAGACTACGAAGACCTTACAAGCGGGCCACAGGCACGAAGCTGCAGTGGCCCCGCGCGCGGCCTTGTTCTCTCCGCCTCGAGCATTCATCATTTAGCATCACTTCTTATTCTGGATGATCAAAAGCCGCTGACGTCAGTCACCTAAATTTTAGTTCTTGTGCTGTGCTGTACGTGGGTGCCTACAAGGCTCTCCATTCCTCTGACTGGCTGGTTGGATCCATCTGATTCCGATTCGAGTACTGAGTTCGTTCGCGGATCGAGCTCCTAGACGTCCCCCCCCTGACATCCCTGACATCTCCGCATCCGCGACTCCGCGTCGTATCGATGTGTTCCCAACCAAACAGAGCCGGTGAGTTGCCCAGCTAACTAAGCCAGCTAGACGTATGTATTTCGTGTTCTCTTCATAACTTCATATAAATGCACAGCTACAACATCCATATGGATTGCGCCCTCCGTGTGCGCAGAGTGTGTTGTTCGAATCTAGCTTCCATACTTTTGGTCGTCAGTTGTGTTGTCGCCTTGACCACGTGAAGGAATTGTGCTGTGACATCTAACGACCACAATTTCAACCCATACAAACCGCGTACCAGGAACGATCAAGGTGCGATTGAGCGGGATAATATCTCGGGACTTCCTTTTCCGCTGTCTCAGCAGTACGTTTGAGGTTTCGTTTCCTTGTCGTTTAACAATCTAAGTTATTTTTGTACGTTGACTCGACGTTTTGGCAGTCAAGGACCTGCGCGAGGACTGATGCTCACTATATCACGAGTAGTATCCATACGACCATAACGATAGACATAACGGTTCTCATCCTTTTACACATCAGATACTGAGCGTTGAGCCATGATTGGAGGAGTTCATGATGCAGACTCGAACCTACACTCCCAACAGATTTATTGTCTGCAGTCTCAAAGCAAGGGAAACAGATTTTTAGTCTGCTGCCATACCCACTTGGCTATGGTGTCTTGAACAATATTGTGAGGATATGGACCATGAACACCATAATGAGGATTTGCGAAGCCTTGTCTCCAGTGTTCCTGCAGTCAATCAGACAAAATATTTCATCAGAAATCCACTGTTAGCTAGTCCCTTCCAGATACAATCATATTTTATTATTATTGGGCAATGTTGGACATGCAGCCACACAGCTACAAGTCGCTGTGTTGGCGAGGCAGGCTGCGCGGACCGTTGGCGATCAACGGTCTCTTATCTTATCTTATCTTAAAACCGTGTCTTCGGAGATTCCAATTCCGTTCATGCTGGTCCGCTCTTTAACAACATAACATCTACAGCTCGCGATTACATCTAAACATTGTGAGTGATAAGATACCACTCCAAGGAAATAGTCGACAGTGGACTGTTGATGAAATAATTCGACTGATTGACCACAGGAACACTGGAAGGGAGGTTTTGCAAATCCTAATCATACAATATTGCTCAAGACACCATAGGGAAGTGGTGGGTATGACAGCAGACTATAAATCTGTTTCCGTTTCCTTTGCCTTTGAGAGTGCAGACAAGAAATCTGTTGGAAGTGCAGGTTCGAATCCTGCTGGTGTCCTAGTCTTTTTGGACCTGTTTCAAGTTAGTTCAACTCACCGCTACTACTTAGTAGTACCCTTTTCCCTTCGCAACGAACCTCTGTCCTCGATTATCACGGTCAGAACAGTTGTGGACCTCTCAAGGAAATAAAAACGCATTCATGGTATGTTCGAAGCCGTTCGGTCGCTCTTCGATCTCCGTGGCCTATCAAACGACATTGGTCTGCAGCGTGATGGTATCGATGAATCAATGATGCTGCATTTGGCCGTGGGCGACGGATCGTGGCCAATGCGGGTGTGGGGTCGAATGTGTAATTTAATGACCTACAACGTCTGTGACCGTAAGACACTCAGATTCTCGTACGGCAACTTGGAAGCACCTTGGATCGGGTAAGCAATCGAATCGATATCTCATTAACTGCTTTTCACGTTGTGGCCACTTTTGATGCAATTCAATCTACTCGTTCAACCCACAGGGTATCATGAGAACGGCAGCAGCAGATCTACGATAATACAACACACTCCTATGTCCCATCTAACTTACTGTAACCCCCCGCGTATCATCAACTCGTGCATCACCACCATAGTATAAAATCTCGACAAGCCTCTCCGTGCGGCCACCATCGTTATCGGTGCCACCACGCATGGCAGCAATGAGCACGCCTGCTCCCATCAAACCTGAGCGTAGGAGTCGTATCTCGTTTGTTTCTTTTATCTGGACTAGCTTGCCCGTCTCGATATCGCGCACTTCAAGGTACCCGGGCGAGAATAACAAAAGGTGCGGTCCGCGACGAGCAGGTGCTGTTGCTCTGCGCTCCCACTCGATATGATAACTTGAACGAGCGGGCTTGCCGTCTTTGGCCACGAAACAACCAAAGGCTGGAGAAGTATCAGGTGTCAAATGACGAACATAGAAGTGGAGAAGGTACACACCGTCATAAACTAAGAGGATATCATTATCATTCTCACACGTCACCATCCCCAAGATGTTCGCATTGCCCGCGAGTTCAAAGATTTTTGGTGTGGCCCCTTTGTTCTTGTGCACAAATTGCAAGGATTTTGCGTCACGCTTTGAATTAGGAAAGTCAGGCACCGTAATGGGCGAGGAATCAGGAGTACTGTGTGGATGATCAATTCGTGACACAAGTTGAGAAATAGAAGAACTCACTTGATCAAGTCCATGATATAAATGGCTGTGGAAGCGCAAATCGCTATTTTGTCACGAAAGAACGACGCGTCGTACGGGTCTTCTGGAATAGTCACCGGCTGTTGCGGAAATGGTCAGTGATTAAAACTCTTCCAAAGTCGAGTGCCAGAGGAGACGAACAGAACCCAAAGGCTGGTAAATGGCTGGACTGCCGATGTTCGCATCTGGGCGGGTCAGTTCTAGCACATGCACCTTGACCTCAACGATCCTCGCTGCATAAATGACTACCCGGGATTGAGAAACGAGGAAACGTCCATAAGTGGTCACTCACCCACAGTCCGATCGTGACCGCGACCCACTTTCAGGAACGAGATGGGCCCATCCCCTCGAGATAACCATTCCACAGAGCTATCAAGGTCCTTAGAGGTGGCATCTCCTTGAGAAACGCGAACAACGAGATCGAGAGGATATGAAAACAGTGCGGATTCGCAATGGACAATAAACTTGTTGAATGCCGGAATAGCGACCATCGAAACTGGCCCATCGAAATCCAGGACTTTCCGAAATGCTGCGGGCAACAGAGTTAGCAGCCAAGACAAGTGGGAGTCCAGACAACTCACAATACTCAGTGATATACCTGCTGACATATATGCCGCTGCTACAACCGACTGCGATGTAACCCTCCCCTTGAAGCGCTGAAAGTCGCATGAGGGTCGATCAATGGAGCCAAGTCAAGACATCCTACAGAAAAGTGCGGCACAGCTAATAGGGCCAGTATAGAGCGTTTCACGGTTAAGTATGATACGTGGTGGTATCCGGAAGAAGTGGTCGTTGAGCGTTTGAGGTGCATATAGCTACGTTCATTCATGAGACAGATAGCTAGAGAATCGAGACTAGAATGAAGGTACCGTTTTCGGGTCTTCTTGAGACCTCCGTACCTCAATCGCGCTAAGGAGCAAACTTTGCCACTTATTCCGTTCTGTCGCGGAGTAGGTGTAAACGGTATGTCGACGAGTGATTTTGGCGGCAGAGTGATATATTGTAAAAGGATACAAGATCACCGTCGGCGACGGACGGGCACGGGATCCCATCCACTTAGAGCCTTGGTCAATCTTTCGGATCTCTGGTCCGTCATCGAATGACGCCAATCTTAAGCACTCCAGTGGGATCGGCTACACGAAATGACTCGCTTAATTGGGAGGGTAATATGAATCGACCATGGACAACGTTACTCTGATTAGATGACTGGTCTTGGTCTCCCCTTTGGGGCTCGTTTCTTCCCTGAACAACAAAACTAGTACATGTCAGCGCTAATCAAAGGACGAGAGTACAGCCACGTACAATATTTGTCTGACAGGGCGCCATATGCAACCGTCCAGGAGAGCTTACTCCCAAATATTTTCCACTTTGGGCCACTATCATACGTTTTGGTTTGAAGTGGTTTGAAATGGACATTTGTCCAGAAACTATCATCTTCGATGATCTGAAAGATTTCAAACGCGACATAGGGGTTATCAACTATCCTAACTTACAGGGATCTCCCCCTCCGGATAAAACAAGGTTTCACGAAGTTTCTTGCTCGTGTCGGGCACAACCGTGACGGTAGGTTCGGGCTTTCCGACGGGACTAGAGGGACGTGGGGAAGACGGGCGGACGATAATGCCGAATCACTCTGAACAGTTCGAAGTGGATGCAAGTGTACCGGCGAAGGAGTGACAGGAATGGTTGGTGATGTATCATGGCGCAGAGGCACAGGAAACGGCGGGGCCACCGAACCTTGCGCATCTAGGTCATGAGCTGCACGAGGAGTTGCGTGTCCGTGAACGGGAGCCTTTGTGGGAAGGACGTAAATGAGTTTCCAAAGCGACGTGGATGGCGATCTTACTGTGGAACGGGAAAAGGAGGGGCTTCTGAGATGGGCGAAGCCTGCTCGACATGTATGGGCGAGACTGGGGACTGCGCAATGGGGTCTGGAGGGAGTTGCCCTGCGTTTAGCCTCAGGCTCGAAGTAATTAACGACGGTGACTGCATGTTATGGGTTGAAGACACATTCAACCGTATTTGTATTTGGCGCTGACAGCACAGCTATCCGTGGCTAGTATTTTTGTTTTGGGACAAGCAGTGAATGAGCGTCCGTGGGCTGGGCTCCAAGACAAACGACGTGTATGTCATTAGCTGTATGATCCATCAAGCTTCACCACGAAACCCCCACTACCTGGCAAGTGTCGGCTTTGTCAACGGCTGATCAAACCATGCTGTTATCATGGATGCGTTCACACCATCAACGATAATAACAATGCATAGTCACTAGCCAATGCAACCCCACACTCTGCCTGCACTACGGCTGACAGTAATTGTCCACACCACACCATGACCCATAATCATGAGATGCTAGACTGTGCTATTATTGTTAGGGCCAACTTTGGGCCAGCCAATCTACTACACATACAATGAGTATATTTGAATTACGGTGACCATACGGGTCTACGACGAGTATCATATAACGTCAGTGCGACTGTAATTACAAGGGTCCCCTTGAGTTCCTATTCTGATCCGACGGGTATCATCATCATTAATTGCATCAATTAGCGTGGTATACAAACTCCACAAGCCTCTCCGTGCGGCCACCATCGCTATCGGTGCCACCAGGCATAACAGCAATAGGCGCACATGTTCCTGACCAACCGGAGTGTAGGAGTCGAGTCTCATGCACTTCCTTTATCTGGACCAGCTTGCCTGTCTTGACATTGCGCACCTCGATGAATCCGGGCGAGAATAACAAGAGGTGGTCGCCGCGAAGTGCGTATGCCGTGGCCCTAGTCTCCCAGGGAACATAATAAGCTTGATCAGTAGTAGTCTTGCCTTGATCATCAATGAAACAGCCAAATTCTGGACCGAACCGGTCAGGTGACGAACATACAAGTAAAGAAATACTCACGCTCATAGATTATGAACGTCTTCGAGTTGTTCTCACATCTCACTGTCCCAAGGATCTCTGACCCATCCATCAGTTCGAGGATCTTCGGCATGACGCTCTTTCCCAGTCTGAGGAGCGTCTTCATTCTATTCAGCATCCGCGGAAAGACATTCTTGTCACCGTTGTTGTTCTGAACCTCAGGCACTACTTTACGGGAAGCCATGCTTCATGGATGATCAACTCATGGCCTTTTGACGAATCAAGAATGAACTCACTTTGTCGCCCCGATATTTTCCACGATATGAAGCGCTTTGGACGTGCAAATCACCACCTTATCAGGGCAAAATGTTGCGTCGCGGGGATCTTCCGAGGCAGGCGTAAGCGTAAGCGGCTGGACGGCAATGATTAGTGGCTACTCCCTCAGAAGACATGTGAAGACGAACAGAACCCAAACGCTTGTACTTCGATGGCACTTGCGCATCCAATTCTAGGACATGTGATGTAACTTGCTTGGGCTTGGGGCCCTTCGTTGCATAAACAACTTTTTGCGGATGAGATACAGAAACACTCAAAGTGGCCGAGTCACTCACTCAGCGTTCGACCAGCTACTTCACCTGCTTTGAAGAACAAAACCTTCTCATGTTCTTGATTCAACCTCTCCTCCTCGCCGTCGAGGTTCCTAGGTGTGGCGCCACCTTGAGATTGAGAAACGCTAATGACCAGATCGAGGGGATATGAAAACAGTGCCGATTCACAATGCACAAGAAAGAGGTGGAAATCCGGAACAGCAACTATCGAGGTTGGGTTATCGGACTCCAAGACGATCCGGAACGCTGAGCCCATATCAGTGACAAGAGCAGGCAGAGTTTTTAATGACTCACGGGAGTTACTCTCACGCTCACGTACGTATATCCCTGTGGTGCAGCCGACAGCGAGATAATCCACACCTTGATACG